CCGCTCTTGGACTCTTTCTTGTGTGCAGAAAGTGTAGCTGCCCTTCAGGACTGTCATTGTAACTCCCCAACCTTAATAAAGAGAAATGTTTCTGTCCTCTTTTTGTGTCCTCAGTGGGGTGGAGGGACAGCAGTTGGCTTTTGCTCTGGGCTGCTATAATGGAATGGGAGTCAGGGCTGTGCTCGTGCACCATCTTCCAGGTAAGCCATCTCCTGGGGCGGCCACAAGCTCTTGGGAAGCCACCAATGAACTGGCTATGGGGCCAAAACCATGGGGAGCTGTTGCCACCTGAAAGCATCTTTCAAATGACAGCACTTGCAGATGGAAGGTGTCTGCAGAAGGACTTTTGAAATGTCCAGTGCTGCTGCTGGGGCTTCCTGTATGTTGTAGACCTGGTGTCCTGTGCCTGGTGCCAAGGACTCCTAAATATTGACCCTGAACAAAAGGTATGTTTTCTATTTTCAGGCAAATGAGAGGAAAAAAATGGTGCTGCTAACAGATGTTATGTGTATTCCTGACTCTAGCAGTCATCTTTGCTCCTTAGCAGAGGTGGCACTGGAGAGTGCAACAGGAGCTCTGCCATGGGTTTTATGATGTGAGTAGATGCAGCCTGGGTGAGGAGGCACTGCCTCTTGAAGGACACAACAGAAAGGCTAACTCTGGGATTTTTGTGGCTGCTGGGCCCAAGTATAGCTTCTGCTGGGAGAAGAGACCTGTTGTGCTCGAGGTTGTCCTCTCCTGTGAAACTTCTTCCCAGCCCTGAAGGTATCACCATCCCTGAGGGTATTTAGAAGATGAGTAGATGAGGTGCTTAGAGACAGGAATTTGCCACTGGATGTTCTTAAGAGTTGGGCTGTGCCAGATGCTGCTCTCCTGTCGCCAAAGGCAGTGAGACCTCTTGGTGGAGCTGTAGCAGGTGACACTGCTGGTTCACTTTTTCTGCCTGGCTTAACACAACTATTGTCTGATGGATCAAAGTGCATGGTGTGTGCTGGTGGTGATGCCCAACTTGCCTGCTCACTTCTTACCTGTAAGCCCCAGCAACCCCAGACTCGTAACTGGTGGTTCTGGACTTCGTTAATGTTAATTTCCTTTGCACATGTGAGCATCTGAGTAAAGACTTCATTAAAGAGCTGGGAGATGCTGGCAGAAATATTGATTTGTGGGGGAGTTAATAATGTGAGCAAGGATGTGTTGTGGTTGTTCATGTTTATGTCTAGCTTGTACCTCATTATATGGAGATGTTGGTGACGGGCTATAAGTGGCCTTCAAGGCGATTAATTAAAAGAAAAAATCCTTTCCCACACAGGAGAACAATAACTTTTATAGGAATCTAGGTGTAAAAGTTTGCAAATTAACATGCCAAGTGGCTGATTTGTGCTGTCCTGTGGAAGTGGTGTGAGCATCAATGCCCACCTCCCTGCTGCTCTGTCTAGTCCCTCTCTGTGTGTGGCCCATCTGTTATTCAACAGCAAGAACAATTAAAGACAGAGTAAAAGAATCAGCTAATGGAAGACTTTCCCAAAGATCCAGGGGTTTATTTCTTGGGTTGTGTCAGGCTGAGGACATGACATGAGTTGTGTCCTTTCTCAGCCGTCCTTATCTGTGCAGGTATGTGGACATTGGAGAGGATGTCACACTTTAATCATTAAACTTTATGCATTAAGCAGATACAAACTGGTAGCTGAATATGAGGGCTAGTTTCCTGATGATGTACATTATTAATGCCCTGTCTACACATGTTCAAGGAAATTGCTACAAATTCTATTTTCCCTTTCTGTGATGATCAGCAAACCAGAAAGCTATCTGAAGCCTTGGAGCACTCTTACCAGCAGTGACCTTTGTAAAGGTGTTTCCTGAGCACTTAAGTTGTTTGTTGTAAGTATTATCCACTTTCCTCACATGGACCTGGAGAAGGAGCTGAAAAGGAGATTTTCTGGTATCTCTTATGGGTGTTCATTCCCATCTGAGAGCAAAAGCATTTCCCCAAGGAGCTGGAGTTAATTCACTTTTTGTGTTTTTTTTGTTGCTAGAAAAAAGCATTGCTGTGTAAATGGAGACGAAGGAGCGAAAGCCATTTGAAAACACTGCTGGTAAATTGAAGTTCTGCCGTATTTGCCGAGATAACTTAGCATAATTCCCTGCTAATGAATTAATGCACCACTTCTTGTTCATTATAGCTTTCCTGATTTGATTGGAGCTCTAAGTGCTAGCTAGCTTCATTAATATTTGCTGGTAATGTAATAAAGCGGGTTTTGGTGGAATCCTTTGTTCTCAGTGAGCTTTGCACCTAGCTGATGTGCTGGGGAAGGGTTCAGAGGAGGAGGAAGAAAATATAGTATTATAGAAATATGGAGCTTAAAAAATATGGTTATTACATTAAATTCATCATCATCTGTCAGCTCATTGGTCTCTGCAGCCCCTCACTTCTTTTTTTCATCTTTCTCCTCCGGAGGCTTTGGCCAAGTCTGGTGCTGGAATGGGAGATGCACAGTCCCAAGGTGCTTTCCTACCGTGACTAAGGGACCAGGAGGGACAGGATGGACTCTGCCTTAATCATGTCCTTCGATGCAAATGGTTCCATGCCTAATTTAACCTCTGGGTTGCTTACACTGAATAATTATCTCTGCTCTGGCTAAGAGGAGATAAGGAGAATTTCCTTATTTTAAGCCATGTTTTGTTGCTGTTTTCTCCCAAAAGTGTTTCTGAAGAGCTGAGGGAAGAGATTTTTCCACACTGTGTTGGGACGTCTGCTGGAGCCTGAGATCAGCCTGCCACCCAGCATCCCAGAGGTGACCCATGGATGATGTCCCAGGGCATGAGCCAATCAGTGAGGAAATAACTTATTTTTAAATTCATCAATAAGCCGTACATCATTTTAATCTATTTGTAGGTGCTAATTGTGAAAATAAATAGCTTAATGTAAAGCTGAGATAGGGATGTAATCCTACAATCTCAGGTATGAGGTTATGAGGTCCTAAACCTTGTCCTCACACCTCCTGGGACTTTGGGCATGGATTTTGGTGAGCCTGTAGGGTCCCACCTAGCTCAGGTGGCCTTGGGGACACAGCTATGTTCCCTCTCAAGGCTGAGGCACCAGTGGACCCAGTGACATTGCTCCTTATTGTGGGCTGGTGCTGATGCCTTTGGTTATTGCTGGTTTCTTTTTCCCCTTCTAAGAGCCCCAGCATCTTAATTATTTATTTAGAGTGTGATTAATGTTTTGTCTGGCATTGTTCTGCCAGGGGAGCCCCAGTACATTTTGGTTTAGCAAGATCTAATTAAGAAGTCCCATCAAGCATGTCAGCCCTTGTCTTACAAGTACCTCTAGGGCTCCTCTGATGCAGTTGCATTTTGACAGGCTTGGCTGGACCCAAAGGCTCTAGGGAGCCTGGGGCTCTTCTGGGGGGTGCTCCCCTCATCCCAGGGTCAAGGCAAGACCCAGATTGCTGCTGCCTCCAGGGTATGGAGGTAAGAAGTGCTTTTGGGCTTAAATTTGCCCTTTCTGGCTGTGTTTTGGTGGGATGCTCTCCTCCTGAGAGCACTATGTGACCACTTCCTCACCAGGAATGAAGCATGGGGTGATGACAACATTCATCCACAGAGGTGATGTGACATGGGGCCACCACAGCATTGGTACCTGGCATGGGTATCCATGCCCCAGGAGGTCTCTGAAGGGGTGGTGAGGATGGAGGTGGTGCACGTGTGTGCATGTGTGCACACGTGTGTGTGTGTGTGTGCATGTGTACCCACTGCCACCCAGTGGTGGAAGAGAATCCAGCAAAATGCATTTTATCTGATGAGATAACATGATAAATAAATACACATTACCCAGGGTCTGTATCCAGGCACTGGATGGCTGAGCTCCAGGAGTGGTGGCTACTGGTTTTGTTGGGCTGGAGGGGGTGGTGGAGCTGCCCACTTAAGCAGGGACCATCACCCCGAGTCAGGCCTCCTGCTACCCTGGATGCATTAAATGGCCTGGGCAGCACCACCTCAGACTCCTGCCTGTGGCCTCAGAAGCTCATTTAAGCTCAGCCTGGAGTTGTTGGTCCCTGCTTGAGCCGCACTGCAGAGGCGCTGCTCTCCAGTCATGCCTGTTGACCACAGATTTAGTGCTACCTTGCCTTGGACCTGTCTGATAGTGAGATGATGACTCCTGCCCCACTGTTGGGTATCCATCCCAGCTCCTTGTCCCTCTCCTGGCAAAGCATCAGCCAGGAAAAAGCCATCAGTCCCAGAAAAGTTTGGAGCCCACTGCTTCCCAACCTGTGGCACAGAGGCAGGGGAGCTGCTCTTCTTGGTGTTTTAGTGCCAGATTGCATCAGGGTGAATCCATAGCTCAGCTCCAAGACACCAAGTGATCTGTAGCTTGCAGTCTTGCAGGTAGATTTAATTCCTGAAAGCTGGAAGGCAAAGAGCCCTGTCCCCTGCAGAACTGACCTTCCCAAAGCCTGACCCCAAACTGGAGCTCTTCCTTATCTATTTTGATGGCTGCCTTTCACAGCTACAAGCTCCAAGGTGAAGTCTCCATGCAGTTGGGGGCTATTTTCCGTCTGAGATGGAGCTTATTCTTCAGGGGAAACTTCCCAGCTGGATTTCATGAGTTGGAGGGATTGGGTGAGCTCGGAGGAGTTTCTTCAAAACCCAAGCTGCAACATAGCCTCTCATAATTCAGATCAACTCAGAGGAGCTGCGGGGAGGGTCAGAGCCAGAGGATACAGATGCAGAGCTGAAATTCTCATTTAAACTTCATCAAGCCCTGGCTTCTGCCACAGCAGACACTGAGCATCCTTCCTGGACAGAAATCACCAGGATGCATGGCAGAAGTACCTGCTGTCCTGGATCACTGGTCTGTTGATGTCTATTTTATTTGCTGGTGGTTTCTTTACCACTTCTTGGAAGAAACTGGAGCCCTTTGCCCCTTCCTCTGCTGCCTCTGATGACTCTCTG